GGATGGTCTCGATCTCTTGACCTCGTGATCCACCCGCCTCGGCCTCCCAAAGTGCTGGGATTACAGGCTTGAGCCACCGCGCCCGGCCTTGTCCTGGTCAATTTTTAAAAATTTGCATACAGTAAATTTTATTCTTTGTTGTGTACTCTTCTACAGGTTTTGTGAAATGCACAGAATTGTATCTCCACCACCAGTCTTGATTTAGAACAATCTATTACTCTAAAATTCCCTTGTTCTGTGTTTTCCCCTTGCAGTCAACCTCTCTCCAACTATAACCCGTGGATATATCTGTTTTCCTGTGTAGCCTTCTGGCTCTGAGTCTTTTCACATAGCAAAATGTATTTAAGATTCATCATACATGTTGTATGAATTAATAGTTTTTTTTTTTTTTTTAATTATTCTTACTGCAACAGTCTACCCAGATGAGAATGAAAGTTTGTTTCTTTTGTTGCTGAGCAGTGTTTAATTGTATTGTTGCACTATATAATGTTTATTCATTTGCCTGCTGAAAGACCTCTGGGTTACTCCCAGTTTTTGGTATCTATAAATAAAGCTCTTATAAACATTTATTTTTATATACATAGGTTTTCATTTCTCTTGGGCAAATACCTAGAAGTGGGATTTTGAGTTTGTATTGTATGTGTATGTTTAATTTTTTTTTTTTTTTAAAGATAGAATCTTGCTTTTATTGCCCTGGCTGGAGTGCAATGGTATAAATTTGGCTCACTGCAACCTCTGCCTCCTGGGTTCAAGCGATTCCCTTGCCTCAGCTTCCTGAGTAGCTGGGATTACAGGTGTCCGCCACCACGCCCAGCTACTTTTTGTATTTTTAGTAGAGATGGGGTTTCACCATATTGGCCAGGCTGGTCTTGAACTCCTGACCTCAGGTGATCCACCTGCCTTGGCCGTATGTTTAATTTTTAAGAAACTGCCAAATTGTTTTCCAAAGTGGCTGTACCATTTTGCATTTCCACCAGCAATATTTGAAGTGTACAATTGCTCCACACTTTGGTAGTACTTGATATTGTCAGGTTTTTTTTTTTTTTTTTTAAGTATCTCATGGTGGTTTTACTTTGCATGTCCCTAATGACTGATTGTGTTGAGCATTTTTTCATGTGCTTGTTAGCCATACATATATCTTCTTTGGTGAAGTGTGTGTTCAGAATTTTTGCCATTTAAAAAATTGGATTGCTTGTTTTCTTATTTTTGAATTTTGAGCATTCTTTGTATATTTTATATATAAGTCTTTGTCAGAAGTATGATTTGCAAATATTTTCTTGTAATCTATGGTTTGCTTTTGCATTCTCTTAAAAGTATCATTTGCAAAGCAAAAGTTTTAAATTGTAGTAAAGTTAAAATTGTCATTTTTTTCTTTTATGGATAATGCTTTTTTGGATCATACTTAGGGTCATGATTTTCTCCTGTATTTCTTCTAGAAGTACATCGTACTTTTAGGTTTATGATCCTTTTTTTTTTTGAGACAGGGTCTCGCTCTATCACCCAGGCAACCAGGCTGGAATGCAGAAGTGTGGTCATCACTCACTTCAGTCTCAAGTTCCTGGGCTCAAAGGATCTTCCCACCTCAGCCTCAAGGTGACTGGACTCCAGGCACACACCACCACATCTGGCTAATTGTTTATTTTTTTAGAGACAGGGTCTGGCTTTGTTGCCCAGTCTGGTCTCAAACTCCTGGCCTCAAGTGATTCTCCTACCTCAGCCTCCTAAATTGTTGGGATTACAGGCATAAGCCACTGCATCCAGCCTATGATCCATCTTGAATTAATTATATATGTATATATATTTGTTTTATTGAGATATAATTCACATACCATAATATTCACCCCTTAAATTACATAATTTATTGGTCTTTAGTATATTCATAAAGTTGTGCAACAATCACCACTATCTAATTCTAGGGTATTTTATTCCCATGCTCATTTGCTGGGATTCCTATTTCCTCCTCCCCTCAGCCCTAAGCAACTATTTTTTTTTTTTGTCTCTGTAGATTCTTTCACTTAGCATAATATTTTCAAGGTTCATCTATTATGTAGCATGCATCAGTACTTCATGACTTTTTATGGCTGAATAATATTTCATTGTATGAATATACCCATTTTACTTATTCATTCATTTAATGGACATTTGGGTTGTTTTCACTTTTTGACTATTATGAATGATACTTCTATGAATATTCATACACATGTTTTTGAGTACATATATGTTTTTAATTACCTTGGGTATATATCTAGGAGTGTTGAGTTAATTTTTGTATAAGGTGTGAGGTATGGGTTGAGGTTCATTACTTTAGAACCATTTGTTGAAATGACCATTTTTTCTCCATTGAATTGCCTTTGCACGTTTGTTCAAAAATCAGCTGACTCTATTTGCGTGGGTCTATTTCTAGCCTCTGTTCTGTGTCATTGATCTACATGTCTATCTTTTTGCCAACACCACACTGTATTTTTAGAGACAGGGCATTGCTCTGTTGCCCAGGTTGGAGTGTAGTGGCACAATCAGCTTACTCATTGCAGCCTTGAACTCTCAAGATCAAGTGGTCCTCCTGCCTCAGCCTTCTAAAGTAGCTGGGATTATAGGTGCAAGGCACAGCACCCAGCTCCACACTCTCTTGATTACTGTAGCTTTCAAGTAAGTCTTGAAATTGGGTGGTTTGAATTCTTTAACATTATTTCTACTTTTTGAAATCGTTTTGGCTATTCTACATCTAGAATAGCCAAATTATAATCTACATTTCTATAAATTACAGAAATTTATAGATTCTAAAATTCTATACATTTTAGAATCAATTTGTTCATAGTGGCAATAAAAAGTATATTGAGATTTTGATTAAGACTGCAACGAATCTACAGATCAATTTTGGGGGAATTGTCATCTTAATAATTTGATTCTTTTAATCCATAAACATGGCATATCTTTCCATTTATTTGAATTTCTCCTTTGATTTCTTTTGTCAGTATTTCATAGTTTTCAACATACAGATCCTGCACATATTTTGTTAGATTTATAACTAAATCCTTCATTTTGGGGGTGCTATTATAAATGGTATTCCTTTTTTTTTTTTTCCTTTTTTCTATTTTGAGATAGGGTCTCACTCTGTCACCTGGTCTGGAGTGCAGTGGTGTGATCACATGTGATTGTAGCTCACTAGTCTCCAACTCCCGGATTCAAGTGATCCTCTCCTTGGCCTCCCTAAGTGCTGGGATTAAAGGCATGAGCCACAATGCCTGACTGCAGTATTGCTTTTATTAGGTTGGTGCAAAAGCAATTGTGGTTTTTGCCATTGAAAGTAATGGCAAGAGCATCAATTACTTTTGCATCACCCTAATAAAAATTAGAATTCTAATGTCCATTGCTAGAATATAGAAATACAGTTGATTTTTTGTATATTTGCTCTGCATCTTATGACCTTGCTAAAGTGACTTGTTACTAGTTCTAAGAGTTTGTTTTGGGTAGATTCTTTGGAATTTTCTATGTAGACAACATATTCATTTTGGTTTTACAGACACTTTTACCATTCCTTTAGCTCTTTATTGTTTTCTGAATATCCATGATCTTAATCTGGTCATTTTCCTTCTGCCTGTAGATCTTTCTTCCCTTTCCTCCTTTCTTTTCATTTCCTTTCTTTCCTCATTTCTTTTCTCTTCCTTCCTTCCTTCCTCTTTCTGTCTTTTTTCCTTCCTTCCTTCCTTCCTTCCTTCCTTCTTTCTCTCTCTCTCTTTCTTTCTTTCTTTCTTTCTTTCTTTCTTTCTTTCTTTCTTTCTTTCTTTCTTTCTTTCTTCTTTCTTTCTGTGTGCTAATTATAAAAGCCTCAATTTTTGTTTGGCTAGAAATGTCTTTATTTTCCATTTATTTTTGAAAGATATT